TAATAGAAGTATTAAAAAACTTAAGTAGTGGCCTTCAAAAAATCCTAATTTTCAAGAGATAATTCTTCTGTTCGTACAGTACGATACACATATCATACAATATGTTCAATGTAATTTAGACTCAGCCAGTAAGATCATTTAGACGAACTGTTCAACTTTTATAACATTTCATTTAGTACGATCAAAACATCATATAGTATGAACTATAAAAGTTCCTTCTGTTTGTTTGGGATGATCCTTGGGATGGCCAACTTTGTACACTATCGATCATCCAGGAATGTGGACATCATATAGTAGAGTAAGTATAAAATTATAGATTTTGTTTGGTATGATCTTTATGATGACCAATTTCATACATGGGTAATCGTACAGTACGAACTATATTATACAGTACAATTAGTCACAATAATTGTCCATGATTTGATTACCTGATATTGAGGGATTAATTAAGAAATATTTTAATTAAGGCATACAGTATGAACTAAATCATACTATAATATCAGCAAAAAATTAATATATTTCTTAATGTATGGTGGCTAGGGTTTTGACAAAGCAAAAAAAATCATACAGAATAAATTAAAATTATATAGTATAAAGCAACGTCATATAGTACAAACCAAAATAATATAGTATGATGTACTTAAAAAAAAAAAAAACTCTCTCAAAAAATATTTCTCTCTCCCCTATGTGTGTTCAAGGTTACTCGGCAAAGATATCCACCTAATTATATGATACAACTCAAGAAAGAAAAAAATACATAATAAAATGTAAATTGATTGTAGCCCTAGTCTACCCAGCCTTGAGCTGATTAGAATTGCAAATGATGGACTGATTTCCTATAACATTAGTACACACAAAAATGAAACAAAATATCACAGAGTTAGGAGAAAGTAGTAATAAACACAATAATGTTTATTATCATTAAAATCATAATGCTTGGATTAGGTTTGAACCAGGAAGGGCCTCAATGCAATTAGATGGCCTTATGGGTGGGGGGACCACCTGTTGCCAATTTAGGCTAAACCACCCCTTAGGCCCGATTTAGGAGCTCCTAAGGAAGCTTTAGGCTCCACTTGGGAAAGATCAAACAAAAGAATCGAGAAGGGTTCAAAGGAGGGAGATGGTTTGGCTATTTCGAAGGGCTTAAAGCTTTATGTTATCTCTTTAACTGGTCAAGCAGTCAATGCAACTTAAGTGGCAAATAGGGAGTAGTCATTTACTGTTTGAATGAATCCCAAAGACTTGAGACAAAGCATTTGAAGTTTGAAAGGGATATTGACCATTCAAATGGAGTTTGAATGACTTATTTACTTGTTTGACAAGTCAACAAAGTCAAAGGTTCTAATGTGGCACCTAAGGAAAGTAAAGAGCTATTTGGAGATAGTGTAGGAGCCAAAGGGTTAGAGCTAAAGTAAGAGTGAATGGGAACATATAATATGGGGTTTTACTTAGGACTTTGAGTTAATTTAGTCAAGCTCAAGGGGTTTTGACTCACCCTTAGTTGGAGTGTGTTTAAGACATGGAATGAAGTGGGTTCAAGGTTTGGAGGAAGTTTGATTATTATTGGTTGTGGTTTGACTAAAAGCAAGTGAGTTTGACCAAATCTAAAGAGTTGATTTGGTCAAAGCCATTTAAATTTAAATCAACAATGTTTTGGAGGCCTCCAAACCAAGCATTGAAATGAAATTGAGGTTTTGGTTGGGTTTATTTGATGGGACAAGACCCTTTGACCCAAATGGGTTAGGTTTGACTGGACTTGGGTCCAATTGACTCGGTTAAATATTGATTGGGTCAAAGTTTCCAGTCAAGTTTAAACAACTAAGGTAAGTGTTCAAAGGAGTTTGAAGGAGTTCAGGGTTGAGTTGATGTGCTAATGAGTACAAATATGGTTTATGGTTGATTTGGTCAACTCTAGTTAAGCTAGTCAACCAAGTTGACATAGGGCATGGGTTTGGATTCGACAAGTTTAAAATGACATTTTGAGTTCAGTGGAGTTAGACTCATGGGCTAGATTGGTCATTTCAAGTAGATATTTCAAGGCTTGATGTGATTGATCTATGTTTAGTTTTTGGAAAAAGTTCAAAAATGCCCTTAAAAAGGCCCTTAAAGGGCATTTTGGTCATTTGACTCCTAGTCAAGTCTTGGTGAAACAAGGTCTAGCAAGATGTGAATTACATGTCAACATGTCATATTAGAATTCATGGGCAAGGTCCAAGATCTTGGGGAAGGCCTCAAGGTCAAATTCCACAAGGTGGAGGGTCTAGTGGCATGGGTCGTAGATATTTGAAGGTTTTAGAGCATTTGAAAATCAATTTAATTTTTGAAGCTAGGGGCCTCAAATGGAGATCAAATTTGGAGGGCTGACCATAGGGACATGCTTAATCAATATGCAATTGATAGATCATGAAGCAAAGGTGATTTGATAGGAGTTCAATGGGATTGAAATTCACCTAGAAAGGGTTTCAGGACTTGGGTCCTTAACCCTAGGATTGGGTTTGGAATCTTGGATTTGGATGCAGTTCTAGATTTGGTTAATTGAGTTTTAATTGTTCACACCAATCACAATCAAATAGATGATTGAGATAGATTAAACAGGATTAGAGTTTGATTGAAAGTTGACCTAGAGTGTGGGGTTAGAAACTAAACAAGAGCTTGGACTGTAATTTTATTAAGACTGGAATGGAGTTTGACTAGGATCTATATGAATTATAAGTGGACAATTGTCAACCATCAGATCACTAAGTAAGAGCTCATACATGTCCTGATGACCTCATATAAAAATGAGGTCAACAACAAACTGTTTTAATATTTTTATATTGATCAACACTCAAATTTTATGAAATGCTAAAAATATAATTAAGGGTATTTTACTTAGCTCACAACTTCGAGTGGTGGTCCACAGTTAAGTCTAGGGAGTATTAGTAATTAATATTTTTTCTTAAATTTTAATTTTACAACATGATGTTTTTGGAAAACTAAAATATAAATTTTTGAACTCTACAGGCTTCAAATTCCAAAAATAGGGAGCAATTGATAACACCATAAAAAAGTACATTGATTGAGCATGAATCTCGAGGCATATTTGAATTAGAAACACCCAAAATTACATTTAGTATCATGCAAATTTTGATTTTAACAAACCTATAGTCAAATTGAATATCTCAACATGATGAACTTAAATAGCACCAAGAGTTGTCTAATTTGAGCCCAAATTAAGACCTCGAAGTGTAGTTGAAAATTTTAAGACATCAATTTGATAATCAAATGATCTTCAAATTTGACATGCTTATATTCAAATCATGCAGCATAACGGGATGAATTTAAGGAGCATAAGATTGCCAAATTGTAGTGTCATTTATGCACGTAAATGCGATAGAAATGATTTACAATTGAAGGAATCAATATAGGCCATCTGATGGAGTGATCTAGATTTGCTCTTATTTTTTTCTTAATATTTATGGGGCATACTACACTAAAAGGTTTATCATTAAGTCTCAATGCCTTACATGAGGGGGCGCCCTTAGCTAGAGATTCAAGGGAGCTTTGAAGCCTAAGGATTTATAGAGATTTGCCCCAGCAACTCCACTAGAGAACACTCTCTAGCTGACCAATGTTGTCAAACATTTGTTGCACAACCATTAATGTAAAACTTTTATCAATCTGCCATCTTCAATGGACCTCTGCCCAACCTTAATTGCTAGGCCTTTGTTAATCAATTATAGTCATCAAAACCTTCGTCGTCGAACCACCATAGCTGGACCCCAAAACACCTTGCTTCCACCGTCGAACCTTCATCGAATGAACATTACCATAAGACCTTTGCTTAGCTGCCTCCATCGAACCTCCACTTCGCAGCCACAGCTAGACCTCTGCCTAGCTACCATCATCAAACTTTTAGTGGACAACTATCACAGCCTGGCTGCGGCTATCGAACCATCACTGGTCAACCAATCATTGCTTGGCCACCACCACTGGACCTTCACTAACCAACCATCGCCAGCTGCCTTTCACCTCTTGGCAGCCACCATAGAACCTTTGCTCGGTAGCAACCACTAGACTATCATTGATCAAAATCCACCATTGAACTTCCACCTTTCGACTTTCGTCATCGAACCATCACCAATTGATTGCCATCTTTGAACTCGTGATTACTTTGCCCCAAACATTCAGATAGAACAATGCCACACTTTCTGCTAGTTTTTTGAGCTCTTGTAATTCTACCATCTACCAGATAAGAGATGAGCCAATCTTTGTAATTCACGCATATATAATGAAATTTATTTAAACTTGACAATTCCCTGTGGTTTTTTCCTTTCTAAGTTTTCCATATAAAAAATCTCTATTGTCATTCTAGCTCTCTCATTTATCTATTTATGTGTTGAACAATATGCAAAGGTAGGAAAAAAAATTCTATTTCTCTACTATCATAAATTTTCTTGCTAGCAACAATAATGTACTAATACCTTAGTAAAAATTACTAGGATTTGATCCAATCCAGTAAAACTACAATGTTTTGTGAATCACTAATAAATTGTTTCTACTGTCGAAAGTTTAAATCCGTAGACATTCTAAGTATCATTATTTATTTAAAAAAAAAAACTTCTCGTTTTCAAGCCTAGTTGCATAGATTTTTATAGAAATCCCCTTATATTGTACTAGAAATATCATGATTTGTGGATGCGAGCTTTCTTCCCTCACACCACACTTCTCATGTTTTCTCCTAGTAATCATAAACACAACTGCTATATTACTCATATCTTTCTTTATTGTTGAATTTTATGCTGACAGCAAGATCCTGTCGAGTGATTGAAATTGACCCACTCTCTTTGTTTAAGGGAAAATTATGGGTCCTTGTCATTCCTTTAATTTGGGGAAAGGACCCTTCTTGTATGCTCAAGATAAGGAACAGCAAGCAAATCAACTTTTGTCATGGAGTTTGAATTCTATTTTCAATTTCTAGTTCCTTATTGTTAGCTCCCTCCTTATTGCAAGGAATCCAGCCAAAGCAAAAAAGCATGTCACAACAAAGAAAAGAGAGTTAGAAGTATAAAAGAAAAAGGATAAAAGGACCACATTGCCATTCTATCTTCCCTTCAAACATGTCATATCAGTTTTAAGTCCTTTATTCTAAAGATGATCTCCACCTCTCCTCCTCTCTCTCCATCTTCTTCTATGTTCTTCCACTCTCTGTTCAAGCAAGATACAACAAATGCACAACCAAGGCATGTTCTCATCTTCTTATTTAGTTCTCTCTTTCCTATTACCTTTAGCATTTTATTTATTGCTTATGATTCATGGCTATTTATAGGAAACCTTGGTATCTGAGAGTAATGGAGGCCATGAACATATGGAAACCCAGTACAAAAACTGGCGTGAATTTGGCAGATTCAAACAAAGAAAAGCTAAGAAAAAGCAGCTCATTGCGAGTGGCGATTTCGTTCACTCGGGTTTGTTTATGTGCTCCAATTTCTTCATATAATGAGGTCTTTTGGGCGGAGGTTCCGCCGCGGAGAAGCAGCAGCACTTTACCAAGATCAAGGTCATTTCCTGAGCATTCAAATAGGATTTCAAGAACCAAGAAGTTGGTTGAGGGGAGGCGACTTTTCAGAGGGAAGTCACTTACAGATGATGTTTTGATGAGGAGGTTCGTGGTGGATGAAGCAGTGATGCAGACTAGAAGGAGAAATCAGATGGAGTTTGTGAGGAGGAGGAGCTCTATTAAGAGGAGAAAATTAGGACCTAGCCCTCTTTGTAGGATGGTCATGGCTGGTGAGGAAGAGTTAAAGAGTATTTGAACTCCATTAAAAGACTGTTTGGTACAATATTATCTTCATAACGTTAAATGCTATTTGACTTAGAAAATGTTGTATTACGCAGAATGATTGAAGATCATTATGATGTTTTCTCTTTTTTTCTTTTTTCGTACATCAGATGTATGACCAAATAGATCTCAATAAAATATGGCTCATATTTCATTATTGAAGCTGATAACTCAAGATATCATACCGTAACATTTCATTTGGGATGTCTATTTTATTGCTTCTTAAAATATTTTTTTATTACAAAATTTTTAATTTTACTGTAAAACTGCGTTAAGAAACAATAAAAAAGTCGTAAAATGTCAGCGAATCAAGCAAACTCTAAAGGATTGTTTGATAGCACTCAGGATTTGATTTAAGTAGGATTTTGAAAATCCTGAGGGCCTAAATACTGAAAATTATTTGATAACATTCATGATAAATCCTATTAAATCTCATGTGATTGTTTGGCTATAGAGCGGATTTAACAAGTGGGTTATTCTCTCGAGAAAATGGATTTCGTAAATCCGACAAAAAATAGGACTTTGAAAATCTAGGATTTAACACAAAAAAGTGGAATTTTTCGTCTACGATGGCTTTCATTTGCCGTGAGATTTGGTTTTGCATTTTAGGCCATTTGGTTGGATTTCGCTCAAACCTGCCTCAAATACGGCCTAAATCTTGCTACCAAACCTTTGATGAATTCAGTCGTGTGTAATTTATCCACAATTGTGATGAGGACATCTCACTTCGGCTTAAATTTGGCAATGAAGTTCAGCTTTAAATGTGACATGCCTAAAGCCTTCACTATAGCTAGAATTGGCATTAAACATTTGATTTATTTGCTTGTTCTGCTTGCTGGATTTAAATATGCAGAGCAAGGAAGGGGAGGCGTTTCCATGGCATGTGATAATGCAAATATTATCGAAGAAATTTATCATTAGACCTAATTTGCACGAAATTTTTTCTATTTTTGTAAGAATGGTGAGTGAAAAATTAGAAAGAGTGTAGTTTAAACCTATAGAGGAATAATCATATCATTTAATCAATGAGCCACAACTCATTTTACACGCCTAAGGCCAACTTCAACTGAGCGTGTTACGCACATCTGCCGTCCGCCGCCAACACCAATCGAAAACGAAACGCTACGGCATTTTCACGAGGTGAAGAGTCGCACTATTCACCAACATTTTTTTTTTTCGAAAATTCATAAAATTAGGTTAATATATTTATTTCAAAATATAGGTTCTTCATTATTATGTTGAAATCATTTTAAATAATTTAGGTTATTCATTTTAAAAATTAGGTTATTCATTTAAAAATTAGGTTATTAGTTATTAATCATTACAAATTAGGTTATTCATTTTAAATAATTAAGAATGCAATTCATAATTAAAGTAAAACATTAATATATAAATTATTAATTTTTCGAGTTAGAATTATATTTGTTAAAAAAATTATAAGTAGGTTTGATTCAAAGACTTCATAAATATAAAGATATGATTATAAATAAAAATAAAAATATATATGAGAAAGAATATACTCATAATATTCTTTTTTGTTGTTATGAAATGGAATTAGGATGGAGACGAGTAACTCAATTTTGGAGTGTTGTTATATTTTGGAGTGAAAAATGAGTTTTTTCGGTTTGAGATGCCCTAAAGGTCTGTTTGGAATGACTGCAGTTTTGTATAAAGCTGGTTGTAAAGCTCTTGTGTAGAAATCAGTTCTTCTAAAATTACTGTTGAAAGCAGCTTCATAGCACAAAAATTTATTTAAAGCACTGAAAAATAAATGATCAAATAAAAACTGTGATTATGATCTAAAAAAACAATAAAAAATTGTCACAAACGAAGCCTAAGCATTGCGCCTCAACGACTTTGTGATTAAAGCCAAGAGATGCCTATCTGTTCAATAATCATCGAATGACATAAGATCTAATTTGATCCAATCAAAGCTGCTCAATCTAATATCAACTCAAATTAGTCAATATATATCAGATTGATCATTAGCCAGTATTATTTGTCTTGATATCAGATTGAAAAGCTTGGATCTACATAGATGGAATAATAACTAAAATAAGAATAGTCAGGGTAGGCTTGTTTGGAAGTGAGAACATAAACCGGATATTCTGGGTGCTGATACTGTTGAATCACCTAGCAAGAATGCCTCCATTGCAGTGTAAGAGGATTATCTTATGTTGTAGCTGCAATAGCGTATTAAACATTAAGATTTCATTTGGAACAGTTTTCTTACTATTTTGCTTTTTAGGTCTCATACACAGTTTCTATTTGGCTACTACTTTTTCATTGCTTTCATGAAATTTTCGTATTAAAAAACTCCTTTTACAGCAGTTTTCAAAAAAGTTATTTTCTTCTTCACGACGATTTTATAAAACATTTACAACAAATTGCAACCATCCAAAACGGATCCTAAATCATTTGCTTGGATTGGTTTGATTTCTACTTTCAGAATTCAATGATGCAGAAATATCCTATCAATATTTAAAATTGTTAGGAGAGCAAGTTCTTGTGCAAATTTATCATTATGTTTTCAGATGATTTTCATTTATATCACACAATTCATTTATATTTATATGTCTAATTTGAAAATTTTAATATTTCTTTTTCCAATATTTTAATATAGGGGTGGAACTAGGGGTGTCAATATTTGACACGACACGAAAACCCGACTCGAACCCGACCCGAAAAATCCGGGTTGAACCCGACCCGAATGCAAAACGGGTCGGGTTCGGGTTCCAGAAATCGACCCGTTTGAAAAACGGGTCGGGTTCGGGTTGACCCGACGGGTTGCCGAGGCTCAAGCAGAACAATAAGAGAAACATTATGGATGCCCTAATAAAATAAAATAACAAAACTTTATATATATATATATTTTCTTCTTTCTTTTTTTTTTGAAAACCCATGGAGGGGCCTACGCGTTAATATAAAATAAAGATTACAAGATCCTTAAAGAGAATTCAAGCTCTTTGCTGCTCTGAAGAGCTACAAAAATAAAAGGAAAAGAAAAAAACCTACGAGCTCGAATTTCCTACTAAGAAAAAGTACACAAAAACTTAGGTACATTCTACGGTGCACAATACGAGCACCCAAAAACCATAAAGATACAAAAAAGATTAACCGGCTCCTTAGGCTAGCAACTTCGTTCAAGAACACGATCAACTGCAAGGCAAAAGCTCTCCAAAACAAAGTAATTAATGAAAACACAGAAAATGCAATGAAAATAGCAAAAATACCAGTTATCACATTAATGTAGATCACAAATACCACCATGATTAATACAAACCTTCCAAAAATCATATTGTCTAATGATCTTACAGATGTTAAACCAATTATTTAATAAAGAGAACATCCCTAGAAGAATTCCTGAATTCCAGGAACCAAATAAGCAAACCCAACACGCAATATAAGGTAGACAATAACCAAAGTGTAAAATCCAACCACCTGAAACAACACAATAGACAACCAAAAGAATACAGCATGTCTAAGCAGCAAGAAGAGTTACCAGAAAAAAACAACCTCATGGAATCTAGCATCCCATGAAATGCTAGCAAACCAGGCATGTTACAGAAAATTCCCACCAAACAAGTAGGATTCAACCGCACAGCACCCTCAACAATCACATAGAAATACTTAACCAACCAAAAACTAGAGCTCAGCAACCCCTCCAGAAAACCGAGCCCACATAGAAATAACAGTAACCCCTCAACAACAAGATTAACCTTAAACCATAACCACCCGGGCACACTAAACCCCAAAAAAAAATCTAGAATTCCACCAGAGAAATAAAAAAAGAAAAGCTCCAGCCATAAGCACCCAGCAGCAAAAAAATTATCCACAACCTCAAGAATTAACATAAGGAACATACTGTTTATCCCAGTAAACCAGACCCCAAACTGGAATAGGCAAGTTATATAAGCAAAAATTCTGCATAGAGTTAGGAGCCCAACCACAGCTAGCCAAAGCTTTAGCACAAGCAATACCACTTCCTTCAATAGTCAAAAAGGAAACATTAAGCCTGCTCATCAACAACTGAATATCCCTCCTTATGTAAAACAGATTCGAAGAGCATAAATTAATATTACTCAGAATAGAAGACTAGATTTGATAAGAAGAGGAAACTTCCACCATAATATTAATATAATCCAAAGATAAACACAACCTTAAATCATAGAGGATAGCAATAGAAATATCACCATTGTAAATAGGACCTGCAAAACCAAGAATAAAATTGCCCTTAGATTCCCTGATGAGACCACCACAACCAACCTTAGAATTGTTGAAAGAACCATCAACATTTAATTTAAAAGAATTATCAGGAGGATTAAAACATCAAATACTTCTCGAAACCTTGTGATTGTTATCCACAACAAGATTAATGCCAAAATCAAAAGGAGCACTATGATACTTATTGAAATTCTTAGCCTTAATATGCTTAGCAGAAAAAAGATCTCTAATCTTATCTTTCCCCTTCTGGATAATCCGATGAGGATTCATAACCTCACCATTATAACGAGAATTATTCCTCTCCAACCATAAGTACCAAAGGATAAGAGAAGGAATAACATTCCTTATAATCTCTTTGGAATTAACAAGCCAACACTTCAATAAAGCATAAATGGAAAACTTGGCATTAAAGAAGTTTAATTTTAAAATATCCTCAAAATGAGTCCAAGCTTTAACAGCACAAGGCCCCAAGACAAAAATATGACGCATGTTCTCCAAATGATAACAACATTGGCATTTAGAAGGAAGAATGAAACCACATTTTTTCAAATTATCATCCGTAGGAATGAAGTTATGTAAAAGTCTCCATACAAAAACATAAATTGTAGTAGGAATACTTTGATGCCATAATATTTTGAAAATAGTAGAAGCTTCTTTCATAATTCTAAAGGAATGTCAGGCATCTTTTAAATAAAATTTACCATCTCTATTTAAAGAACACATCTGAATATCAAGAGTATAAATATTAAGGGGGATATGTAGAATTAGTTTAACAATAAAACTAGGCAAATCAGAAGACAGTTTATCCAAATTCCAA